TCAGTGTAGGACAATCCATTAACCCAAGGCTTTATCTGTTTAGTCTTCTCTGTACTGATTCCAGAGCAGCCCCTTTCTATAAGATGTTGACCAAAATTGTAGCATATTGCACCTTATATTCAACGGTTGTCTCCCATCATGGATTAATCAACCCAGACACTGCTGAGTTTCTGAGATCAGATATGATTGGTCAGACTCAGGGTGGAATGGGCATAAACAAATACTTATTAAACCTCGCTAACATTGACTTTGCAGGTTACTAAACAGCTGATAAGGGAAAAGTTTCCTAAATAAGAATATTGGATTGTCATATATCCAGAGAACCAGGCTAAGCTTACTTTTTCAAATGTTTTCAAGGTGCTTTCAAGTCGTCTGAACATCTTCTCTGGAGCAAAGCACATGCTGCAGCACAGTGATCCATGTTACCATATAATGGCATTGGAAAATTCCTATCACAACAGAGATGTCCTGCCACCTACTGATAATAAATAATAATAATAATTCCTTACACTTATATAGCGCTTTTCTGGACACTCCACTCAAAGCACGTTACACATAGTGGATGATGCAATGGCAGCCATAGCATGCCTGTATGCTCACCACACATCAGCTATCAGTACGGACGAGAAAAGAGTGATAAAGCCAATTTGTAGATGGAGATTATTGGGAGGCCAAGATTGGTAAAGGCCAATGGGAAATTTGGTCAGGAAGCCGGGGTACAGTAACACCCCTACTCTTTTTGAAACACCCTGGGATTTTAAATGAACACAGAGTCAGGACTTTTTACATGTCATCTGAAGGACAGTGCCTTTTTACAGTACAGTGTCCTGTCATTATACAGGGGCATTAAGACCCACACAGACTGCAGGGTGAGCGCCCCTATTGGCCCCACTAATACCTCTTCCAGCAGCAACCTTAGTTTTTCCCAGGAGGTCTCACATCCAGGTACTGACCAGGCTCATACCTGCTTTACTTCAGTGGGTTGCCAGGTATGAGTTGCAGGGTATGGGCTGATATGGCTGCTGATCCTGCTGATCCTCTAACACCACTTTTAGAAGCAAATTGTTTTTTTGTTCCCTTAAATTACTAAGATTACCTTAGACCTTGTCATCCTAAGCATGTGAACTCTACCATGACAATATACATATATGGCATATCACAGGCATTAGGGACATAGAATAATATTAAGAGGCATTTGAAAAAAGTTCAAAGTCTAATAGAAAAAAAGTGTTGAATGCAGTATGAATGTACCTTCTAACTTTTCACAGTCTTCTCATTAAAAAAACCTCAAAAACTCTTATTTCTGAATATGGAAGTGCATAAAGGCTCTAATTACGTGTTTTTCCAATGTGAATATCATCAGAATGATTAAAGAGGCAACTAGTTTGTTAACTGTTCGTTTTTAGCTTTCCAGCATGAAAACAATGTTTTACTTCAAAGTGACATTTTCAGAATGAAAAAAATAGGATTATGAATTTTCCACCCACATCTTTTTGCAATATAGATATGAAGGTGTCTGAGGTTATGGATGAAGGACTGAATGTTTACCAATCTTAAAGGCAGTTAAAAGCACTTTAAATAATTAGTGTTTGGCTTTCATTGCATATACACAACACCCCTTACTGATATCTTACTGAATGTGCTCTCTTAACTACAGAATGCACAATGCTGAACTTTGAACATGTGTATGAATCAAATAGACCACGACAGGAAGATAAAGCCTATTAGTTCCTACTGCCATATGACACAATGAGTGAAAACCAGACCCTCCCTACTGCTAACTGGCCTGAGCATCCACAAGGGAGTTCTGTAAATGGAGAACACATACTGTACTTTGCATCTGGATATCAAAGGAGGCACGGAGAAGACTCAGAGCATATGGCATCATTGCACTAGATGGGCCTTATTGCCTTGTGAAGTCTTGCATGCAATTCCTTGACAAGACAGAAGAAGAGTTAGGCTAACACTCAGTTGTCTGGATATTTTTAGCAAATCGGAATATACTACTTGGTTATCTAATCATTAATCCAGGGATGCAGCATGTGGAAGCAAGTCATGACTATTAGACTACTTAATTAGACTATGAAGTTTCAACAATGTATATTTTCTGATAATCCAAATAGACCATCCAAATTGTGTGCTTTTAAAATTATTTACATTAATTTGTAAAAGTACTATTATTCTTGAATATCAATTCAAATTTTTCTGTGAAAAAAAAGTTTTGCACATTTAGAATTTTTCAAATTATAATTCCAAATATATTATTATATTTAAGACCAAGATATATTCAGGATAAAAATGAAACAATCAATTATGCTATTTTCAGACTAATATATATATACAGTATTTGGAGAGGCATTAAAATGCAACAGATGCTATTGGTTCCATCACATACTTGTATTTTAATACTTCTTTAATACTTTATATACTAATATTATAATTAATAAACATTTTTTTTAAATCCCTTATCTCAAGATAGAGAATAAGCAAAATATTTTGGAAATATAGTCTATGGACAAGAAAATGTAGAAGTCATGGTGCATAGCTTTGCATGTATCATGCAATATATTTAACAAAACATTCACAGTTGACCCTGAAAAACTCTTTAAGGACAAATGAGCATTCCTTCTTTTTATTATAGAATGAACATTCAAACTCATTAACTCAGCTGGAAAAAAAAAACACTGAAGGCTGAATAAATTTGCATGATCCTCTTTAATATTGTTATGATATCTTGCAGCAGCTCCTAATTACATGATGTATCTTCTAATATCAGGGCAAAATGCCCTATGATTGACATCCTAAAACTTAATTAGTGCTAGTAAAAAAAAATCTGTATTCTAGTATAAATGTCTAAATGTTAAATATCTTGTATCTGACTTAAAGAATGAAGTAAAATATTTTTTTTTCTTATTGTATGTTGCATTTTAGCAGCTGGATATATCAAACTTTGAAATGAAAACAGGCTTTTTTACGAGTTGCCTAACCACTGCTAATGTACACCATTTTACATGCAGATTAAGAAAGGACAATCTCAGCACTGCTTGAACATTGTGGAACATTATGCTTACTTAGTGTACTTTTTGTTTAGGCATAGCATTTTTAAATAAAAACAAACTAATATAGTAATAAAACAGAGTAACTTGCCCTCAGGCTGCTGAAGACAGCTGTATAACTGAAGAAATCTAAGATTAAACAGGTGTTTGTGTTCATTTTCTAAGCTATTGTGTTCATCTTATTACTAACGGCCCCTTGTTGAAAGATTTGTAAGAAAAAGAAACAGTAGAAATAAATAGTAACATCTTTTACCCTAAAAATCTAATGTTTGCGCCACCTGGTGGAAGTAAAGCTAATTGCTTTTGGTTAAATTCTAAGGCAAAAATAATAACAACCACTATAGAAACGCAACATTTATAATGTTGAGAATTTTGAACTTGTAGCGCGAAGATAAAATCAGATATTTAGAATGTAAATATGCTTGTCTTTTTCTGTTCTCTCTTGATGTTAAAAATATATATTTAAGAAGTTGTGATAGTTTTCTTATTAAAGTTAAGGAATATGGCTACTTTTTAAGCTGGTGTATAATATGTACTCTTGGCGTCTATCCATTAATATATTTTCAGAAAATGTATTTTTTGTTTTTAATTTTTTCTTGTCCCCTAAAGAAAGATCTTTAAATTCTCAATGAAATAATAAGGCTGGCATCATTTTGTCTCTCCTATTACCCTAGCGTGGTTTTTGAAGGCGAACTAGCTGTTCTGACATTGACTTAGGCATTTACTTCACTCCTGACAGGAGATAAAACGTCTTCTGCACAATTAGTTTAAATTTATACATTAAACGCCTTAACATGGAATGACCAAGAACGTAAATATCGACGAGCAATCGTACCAGTAAGCAATAAGGTTAAGTTAATGATTTTTACTTGAATAAGGATTATATTTCTAAACAGATCTTAATATAGCAAATTGAAAACATGACTATCTCATCAGACCTGCAAAGAAAATTAATATTAAATTCCCAAACTAAATCAACATAGTAGCGGAATAGACGGGAAACGATCAACTATCTGTAAAGCAGCACCACCATAGTTTTAACACATGTGTGAATAAAGCAGGAGAGAAACTGATGACTACAATTCAACAATCTAAAGGTGAACTTCCATTTGCCGTCTCCTTACTTGTATTCGGGCTGCGTACCTATAAAATCAAGAACACTGTCCAGTACTTCGCTCCTTTACACGAGTAAGAAAAGAAAATATCGCCTATAAACTATAATGCCTGTAAGCACCTGGCAGTATTTTGTATGCGCCTTATTTCACCTGAACCATAATCTCAAACAATGTTTACATATAGAAAGAAGTGTCTCTTTAAACTCTTTCCAAAAAGAAAGGGTATTATTTCCGAATCTACCCCTTATGTTCTACATACCCCCCAAAAAAGAGGGGGGAATAAACGTGAGTCAATAACATCGAAAGGCACTGCAGCTCTAACCTTCTCCACTGAATACTAATGAAAGAATTAGAGATATGTTAACATAAGATATTGTAGATATGCAGTGGTAAATGTTGAGAAGGTTCGAATCTAACATTATCAACTATCCAAATATAGAGTAGGAACACCTGTTTTAGGAGAAAGGCTTTTCTAAAATACCTTTTGTCCTCTTTCTTCTTGTATTAGATTCACTTTCCAGATTGAATTAACTATATGAATTTGACAAACAAAACTTTTGTTCTGTAATTATTATTTTCTTTTAACATTACATGCGTGAGTGTAGTGATAAACCTTAGTGATGATAAAGTACCTGCTTGAACGCTTCTTATACAGTATATAGTTGGTTTGTTTCCTCTGCTCTTCCAAATTCACTTCATTTAGGTTATATACTGTACAGACCACTGTCAGATGTCGGATTATTTCTGTGGCGCAAATCACTTTGCGGCAGAATCCAAACCACGCACATAAGACAACGAGCTAAGAAATGAAACGCATTGGAAACCTTACCTCCAGACTCTGATTCTCTCGGATGCTGCAACAGACCGATCCGGCGTGATTCTAATGCCCGTGTCCTTTTACATACGTGCGATAGCTGCTATTAACTCCATTGAGAACTTACAGCTGCTGAGAGTAGATTTCAACGCGAAGCGCACACAGCGCAGTGAACTGATGGTCTCTGGAGCTCCGGACTGCTGTGAGCAAATCATGCTCAGCCGCCTCAACTCCTAATGCCACTTCAGCTGAGACTAATAATAAAAAAGAGACAAGCCTTTTTTACCACTCTAGTATGACTAGGTACTATTCAAAGTGACCCACAACAGAACTCCCACTTGTCAGTATCTATAGAATGAATCCTACGAATTAAAAAGGGGGGAATCAGAAAAGGGCTTGAAGGAGGTGGGGCTGAAACCAATCTATCTCTTGGCGAGGTGATATTTGCATTTGAAAGCTCGGAGATTTAGGAGAAAATGAAAGTTTCTTTCATTCTCTTTCTCTTCTTTCTTCGAGCTTGTCAAGTTAGACAAAATAAAAAAAAAAATAGCCACTGCAGTATAAGGCGGACAAATTAACACTGTAGCATATTGCCCTAAATGCACCTCACCGCAAGCGACCACATACTGTAGCATCCTGTTACAGGGAACAACATTCTTCTTGGGTGCCACAAACCTCGAGGGACTGTAGTTGTGTGGTTTTCATGATGTTTCATTGCTACCTCTGGGATTTTTAGGAATACCTTCAAATCGCTGCAGTCTGTATTTAGCAGGATCTAAATAGTAGTCAGATGCTACAAGCTCGTGAATGGTGAAAGAAAATCTTATTAGATATAGAAGAAAATACTTTAAAAAACAACTATAGCATAAAAACACCACTTTTTGGTAAAAAATATGTCAAAGGCAATTGTGGGTTTGTAAACCAGGCTGTATGTACTTCTGAACAGTGAGCAGCATATTTTAATCCACCATGCCCAGTACATTATCTATGAAGAAGTGTTTAACCTATTTAGATATTAATTCTTTATCCTGAACGAAATTATATATTTTTTAAATAATCTAAATTATATATATAACATTCCGACAGAATTTGATGGCATTTCTTTGTAATTGAGTCGTTTACTTTGTGCTTTCATAAATGTTACAAATTGAATATTTCAGAGTGGAATATAATTCAGTGTGGAATTAACCTCTACTTGCTCTAATTTGCAGCCAATGCACACTGACACAGCTCCCTACTCAAATATTTTATAATGGCACTATTGTAAATGTTTATTTTCAATTACAGCTACTCGCATGTCAAGCAATCATGTCTGAAATCCTCACTGAATATTAAATCTGTATGACAGGTAAGTAATAGCACCTGCTATGGTGGAGACATTTCTAGAGGTCAGAGTAAATGCCTTATATTCTATTAAAACCACCAAATGCTCCACTTCCTACCACCGCCAACTTTTAATGCAAATGCTTTTTTTATTACAAAAAGCAGAATATTGCTATATGGATGAAAAATACAACAATAGTAACACAGATGTGTTCTATTAGCTCTATAACCTGAGCCTCTGTCCTTTCCTTAATTCCAGAACTGACCCTAGTCATTAGGTTAACATTGTAGCTGGCAAACCTTTTTTCAATAGAGTAAATACAATACGTATACATTCACTGAGATCATTCATAGTAGCATTTATAAAGCTAAATCCTTAAGGATGTATATACAGTATTAAAGTCCTTCATAGATGACTAAAATAGCACAAAATATAAAAAATAAAGTAATGAATGAGAAAAGATGAAAGAAACTGTGGTGAGTTACACCTTCTAGTGGTGAAGAAGACACAACAGGATTTCTGTTCAATGTCTTTAATGGAAATAGAAGAGGGAGTTTGAGTAGGTAGAATTCAGGATACCTCTTCCTTATTCTACAGTACATGCCTTAAACAGGGGTAAATATTCTAACTCTCAGACAGAGGTAAAAAGGCAAAACAGTACAAATTTCAGAATTGCAATTTCTATAATTTTTAATAATTTACGGAATAAATGTAACAGAATTTTCTGCTGTGCTCTGCTTTGTCTTAACCATTTACATTTTACCATGTATAACAGTAATGTTGTAAATGTAATTATTGTTGTAATCCTTGTGTTAGTCGAAAGTTAGTTGAACCTTAGCACTAAAATAGCACTGACAACAATAAACAAACATCACTCACATTATAAACGTTAACTAAGCTGTTTTGTTATGAAATGCATTAAAAAAGAATCTTAATACACAGCAGTTCATGTCTGCAGCACAAGACTGGAATTCTAATTACCCAACACTAAAAGATTTCTCTGGGCTTCTTTTTACTCAGAACAAGTTCAAAGAACATGTGTGGTCAAACACATGGAAGGTTAATATACTAGACTTGAACTTTAATTGCTCATCATTGTAAACACATGGAAATTCAAATAAGTGAAGATTACAGTTGGAAAATTTACCATTTGCAGTTGGTGTTGTTAGACGTAATAGAATAGGGGCATTGGAAAATTCTAGTTGATGTTCTGCTTTATGTCCTTGAAAATGAAAACTGGAATCGGCTCTCTTCTGTTATAGGCATCTGTTGTAAGAATTTCCTTTTGTAGCAGACAAAAACATATTCAATTTGGAGATGTCATTGATGATGTTGTTGGGTACCAGTCTGCTGCAAGGATCCTTGCACTGCCTATCCCTTTACCTGTCAGTTCTTCTGTCGTATTTATGTTTTGTACCCAAATGTCTAATGTTGTCTGTTCTTATCCCCACCTCTACATGTGTTTTCTTGTTTCTTGTTCCATTTAAAGCCCACAACTTACTCCACTCAATTGAATTACTCTTAAGCCCCAGTTCCACACTGTAAAGTTAATTTCTGCTGTTTTTTCTGTCTGTCTCTATCCCTGGCATCCTACTGGCCCAAAAGACATCACATCACAGTTGATGCCTCCAGCTCTGGTTCTTTTGGTCTCCTCTCTGCTTTCCTAGCACTGACTTGTCCAGCACCTTACCTTCAGCGTAGACAGCAGGTATTCTAGGACTCTTTTCTCTCTGTACTGACCCATGGTCCCCAGTATGAGTTAATATCTACTTTCATCTATCCATCACATCCACAAACGTTCTACTCAAAACCCTCGTGATCTGGAAATTCCAGTTCAGGCCCCAAGTCTATTTTCACTCTCTTCCTCAATATGAAATCTAATTGTTGCTCTCTCCTCTGCCAGTCTGCCAATCTGGCTTAGTTGTTGCATGTTGTGTTATGCTTTTGGCTGCTCTTGGTGCCACCTAGTTGGTACTAGGTCTATCTGGTGTCCCACCTTCGCCTCAGTCAGCAGGTTCCTCTACCTCTACTCTCCTTCCTGTCCCTTTGTGTCCAATACAACACAACAGGCATACAGTACCCATTCCTTAGCATCAAACCTGTAATTTCACTGCTTCATCTCCCCATTTGTATTCCTCTATGCTCATTGTTCTATGAATAACACAAGCAGAAGCTCAATTACTTCTACCACCATTCCTGCTGGGTAGAATCCTTTACTTTAATCCCCTTCAAATCCTCTTATGCCTAACTCATTAAGCATTCCTAAATAAATATTCTTATTCCATGTTTCTATTCCTTGTGAACTTAAAATTATACTAATGGTAGTGGACAATAATTTATAAAACATTACTTCTTAGAGCCACAATACCAGTTTAGATATTTGTCTATACAGTACCAAAACATGTAAAGGAAAGGGGATACATATCACCTTTATTAGTTTGTAATCTGTTTAGTAATAAGGTAACTAAAAGTTTTTAGTGCTGTTTCTTGTCTGGGACTTTTCATCCAGCTAATGTTAAAGCAAGAACCAAAACACTTATTTTTCTTTCAAATAGTGTATTTTAAAACCTAATATAGGAAAAAACACATATGCCCACACATGAACACAGTATTTAAACAGTAGATGTACTGTAACTTTGTTTGTAATCTATAATCACACTGAGTGCTGTTCAGAAAACTCCTGTTCTGAAAATAATTACATTATAATGAACACAGAAATACTGAGCATCCTATGAGTCATAGACTCATTAAGTAATGCTCAGTGAAGTTTGATTTTTGTGGTTTATAAGTTAGGAAAAGCATTTGAATTTTCAATTAAAAACATTCATTTCATCAATTTAGAAAAGCACCTTACACCTCATAATTCAAATATAATGAGTCCAAACCATTTTAAGTGTTTTGAAACTTATATAGCACATTTCTCAACACTCCGCTCAAAGCACTTCACAGTTAATGGGGACTGCCCTCCACCACCACCATTGTGTAGCACCCACAGAGATGATGGTAGTCGAATCGTGCCAGTCCATCGACCCCATATCAGCTATCAGTAGGGAACAGAACAAATTGAGATTATAAGGGGAAATTTGTCCAGAACACTTGGGTTAACACATACAGTACAAACGGGAAAAAAACGTACATACATTACACTGAAATGTACATTGTAGAACCATTCTCCATTTTCTACTCTGCAACTTTCATGTCGTCAACAGTAAACATCAATTGGAGGTGTAATGTAGGGCTCTATAGCACAGAGGTTTACTGTTGCACAGTAAAATGATTAACTCAAGCCCACCCAATCTCAAGCAGTATCTAGAATGCTACTTGTTGAATCTGCACCTTGCAGAATTTTGAGTGGAGTCAGATGATAGCTCATCCAACACCAAAATAGTGATTTTTGGTCTATGGGGTACAAGCAGACTAAAATCAACAAATAGTATTATTATAGAAAACAAATAATATATAACATACACCTCCAGTTTTCTATGTAAAGAGAAGTCTATTATCCATGAGACCACAAAATATTGATCTCCATACACAAGTTAAAGAATATAAATATGAAATGTTAATAAAGTTGCTTCACAATTCTTTTATACAACAAATAACATTGGAATGATAGTGGAATTTGACATTTACATTATGTCTAAAACATTCTAAATTTATATATATACATATGCGTATAAGAATAAGTGAGTATAAGCATGTAGAAATGTTTTCAATATTTTTACAGATTGGAGTTCAATACTTTATTTTATTTTTTCCATTCCAGTGTCTTGTAAGATAAATCTTCAGAACGCCTAAATAGAAAAGTTAAAATGTCTATACATTTTTTCTAGGATGATGCACAGCATTTACTATCACTTAATATGATGATCTCTGTGTGTTGAAGCTTATATTTAGGATATTGCTCCTTTATACAAATTGCTGACATGACTCTTTCAGAACAGCAGTTTTTTTTTCCTCTTGGAATATCACAGACAGTAAGTGTTAAGACTCTTCAAGCTAGTTTTTTTTGTCTGTGAAGGAGCTGTCTTAATCCATGAACAATAAGCAGAAGAAAAAAATGAAACAATTCATGTCCTTTGTTGCCCAAAAAGTACTAGCTCTAAGGCAGTAACAGTCTTTTCAATCATTGTTACAT